ATATTATCAATGTGTTTATGCTCAACTGACCCGTCTCAAGTATGAACATTTTTTTTTAAGCTCCATTTCAGCCCCCCCGCTTTCCCCCCCGCCTCGAACTGCTTCTTTCAGGGCAAGAACAAGGAAGGAAATTGAAAATCCCAGAGAGCCCTGGACGGTCCAGATTTAGGGCTGTAGCTTTTGTTCGCACAAACTCACTTGGCTCCTAACCGGCCTCCACCCATGATCCCAACATCCGCAGCAGCCGTTCAAAACATAGCGCAGAGCCCGGCCCCGGCAGGGACCGGCAGCCACCCGTGCCACCCACTGTGGGGCCAGCAGCCCCGGCTTTGCTCCCTGCTTCTCCTCCCTCACAGCCTGCCTTTCTTCCTAACCTTTTCCTACAGCCGGCAAGGAGTTTTCTAAGTTGAGATGAGTTTTTTTTTCTCTCCGTGAGCCTCAGATGATGTTAAGGTTATGCAACATTAACAGATGTGGGCTTTATAATTATAGCTGCCTGTCCTCGGGAGGAGCCTGCTTTAGCTTCACGTGTGCTCGGCTCAGCATGGGATGCTCCCGGGGTGGCCGTAGCCCTGGCAAAACAGCCGCCACATGGGCAGCCGTACTGGGAACGGTCCCCTGGGAATCACCACTCTCCTGAGGAGGGACAGCTCTGGCATGAAGGGCTGTTCTGGGCAGCCAAGCAACCACTTTTGGCTTTTCTCATGTGCAAACACAGATTAAATTTGCGTTCCCCGGTCAAGGGAGTGTTTTTCTGCCCTTTGAGGAGAAAAATCCCTTCTGCAGGAAAGCAGCAGGGCTGGGATAGCTCGTGCGATGCTCCTGCCAAATGCTGTCCACGGGGATCATGCTGCCCTGGCATTAGCAGGATACGTCCCTCCTCACTCCCTGCCCTCAAATGTCCATGAGACATCACAACCACTGCTGAAAACTTACAGTACTGTGCTTTTTGGTGTTGTGCTGTCCCATATTGAGCCTTGAGCATCACCATGATGTTGCGCCAGCAGCAGCCACCTCCTGGCCGGGGCAATGCCTGTGCTGCACCTGGGCACAGAGACAAAAAATTGCTGGTCCAAAAGGGATTTTTCAGGAGTCTCACAAGGTAGACATCCAGCTGGGCTGGCAGGGGCAAACCCAAAGCCTTGAGAAATCAGCTGGAACTTGATCTGTTTGTCCTGGCCACGTTATAACTCAGCTCCCAGCAAGCCACGGACTTATTATGCTTGCGAAGAAAAAGTAACTCCAAGCCTCGACCTGTCTGGTGAGCATCACTGCTAGTTTTAACTGTGAGGGAAAACACTGGTCCGGCGGGTGGCAGGAGGGTTTTGCACTGGAAGTCAAATAATTCTCATGGTGGCTGCGGTTGCGTGGAGTTAAAACATGGAAAGCTGTTGGCAGCTTAGGATGTGATGAAATTGTTAGTGACAAATTGGTACCTGAGCTAAAGGGCTGCTCTGCTTTAAGCCTTTAATGCATCAGGGGAGGCCATATGGTCCCGCATTTATTTTTTTTGAAGAAGTTTGCATCTGGTCCGTCCACTCCAGCGGAGGGTCATTTTTGAAGGCTAATTTCTGCAGGCAAGTCAAAGAGGAGCTTGCAGTTATCTTGCACTTCTGGCAGGCTTGATGGCTCTGTGATGAGCTGAGACTTCATGTCTATTTTGTTGAGCGGCCTGATTTTTTTTCGGGTTTCCTTACTAGATTCTGTGGGTTGGATTTTCCAGCACGGCTCATGCTCTGCACCCCACAAACCAGGGAGCTGAGCCTGTCTGGCACAAGGTTTTCCTCCCTGCACCGGAGCCTGGCATACCTTGCGGGGCAGAGTTAAAAATGCCAGATGACTCTAAAAAGCCTGTGTAAATAATACCTTCTTATTCAGCCCGTCCACTCCCCAGCTGCATTCAAAGCCAGGTTTGCTGGCGCCCATGATAAGGGGAAGGGTTTTGCTTCATTTTATTCCCAGCAGCTCTGCAGAGCCAAAAGAGGATAGAGAAAACTCTGGGGTGGATTTGCAGGGTGAACAACAACCAGACAAGCAAACAGCAGCATTTTACTTTCAAACCAGTTGCTGTTCAATCAAGGGTCATAGCTGAAGGTACTGCTTGCTGGCATTTCCAGGGTTATTTTTAAGAAGCGGCAATTAAATGCCTGCTGCAGTGCCCCGCTATATATTTTAGCGTGCCTGGCTGGAGTGCTTGTTGACAAATGACTTGGCAACCTGAGAAAGCAAATTTCCCTCTGTCTATTCTCATCCCCTAAGGGTTTCTTTAAGTAACTGCTGCTTTGCCTTTTTTCCGTGCAGCAAAGCCGGCTGCTGGGGCACAGTAAGCAAGGATTGCACAGCTGAAAGCTTTTAGCGAGAGGGGAACGGAGGGAAATTCAGTGTGCCGCCCTCCAGCACACCCAAATTTTTCAGCATCAGGGCTGCTATAAATGGACTTGTGGGCTACAATTACAGGCTGGGTATTGGCTTGCAAATGAGCGTAGCGAGCATCCCCTGTGACTCTGCATCCCTTCATCCAAGGGGCAACAACAAGCAGCTTGTTACACGGGACAGGAGTTGGCTCACGGGACAGGGCAGGCTCCCAACAGCAGCAGCTGCTCAGTGTGCTCGGTGCGGTGGGCATCGCAGCCACGGCTAGGGCTGTCATTAAAGGCACCCAAGGGGCTCTGCTCCACTGCAGCTCTTGTCTCCTTGGGCCTCGTGGTGCTCAGCCTCCTGGGATGAAATGCAGACTGTCCTACCTACATACCTCTTTTTTCTTCCACTGAAGCTATTGCAGAAGGAGAGGAGACCGCTCCCGAAATTGCCACCTCTGGCATGGCAGGTACAGCAACCCCAAAGGAGACACACAAGGCAAGGAGGAGAGGTGTCCCGTGGGGGTTTCTCTGAGGCACAGCTTTCTTACAGAAAGTGCTTGGAGGCCAAGGACAGATGTGCAAGGCTCAATCTTGAACATCAGAGCTTTTGGGCAGAGCCTGAGCGGTGCCTTTAGCCACTGCCTGTGTATCAGCCACAGCCCTGATTTGAGATGCTGTGTGCGTGCCAAGCAGGTTACGTCCCGTAGCCTGGTGGATCTTTGAGCTGCAAAGTGAGGAGAGTTCTTCTCCCTATATGACTTTTCTCAGTTTCTTGAGAGGCTTTAGACCCTGCCACCCTAAACTGCAGTTTCTCTAGCCAGGCTCCTATTCTGCCCATCCAGAGCATCTATGGGCTATTCCAGCCCAGAGATTGTGTTTTGGTTATAAGGAAGATAGATAGGCAAAACTGGGATCTCTCCGTTTCGGATGACACAACTGTGATTTGGACTTGCTTTGACTTGCTGTGGACTTTGAAGAGCATCTGAGGCTGCAGTGCCAGCCAAGCCTCGGGGCTGTAACATGGGGCAGGGACAGTCGCTGCTGGTTTTCACGTGACTGATGTGCAGGGAAATCCTTGCGCAGCCCTGGCTGGTGCCGCAGGCTGGAAACCCCGATTGCTCCAGCAAATCTCACTGGAACTGCTCATGGCAGCTGTCAGGAGATGCTCTGCTCCAGGCAGTATCAGGCTGGATGGCAGACCCCAGGCTGAAGCTGCAGCTACCGTACTGAGTCCTTCTGCTGCTGCCAGCGGTCAGCGTTAATGATTGAGCCAAGAAGCTGGCTACTGAGTAACATCTTCAGTCCTTACTTAGGGCCTGATTTGGGAACGTGTTTATATTCGAGAGATGCACACAGCCATCTGTGTGCTTTTGGAGATCCCGTAAAGCATGTAATGCCTGTTGACCTCCCTGGGAGAAGTAATTTTTGGGTCCATGAGATACAGCAGATGGTAGAAATGCAGAAGCAGCTTGTGCAAAGAGGGGACGAGATTGCTGAGGTTACACATCGCCATGGTGTGGAGCAAGCGGAGGGAGGGGAAAGACTAGCTAAGCTAAAGGGTAATGCTGGCTTGGGAACCCACATTTATTCCATAAGTGTATTTATTCATTTTCTAATGAAATGAGAAAATGATTCTGGACGATGGCAGACTTTGGAGCAGCCTTCCAGTAGGAGCAAGAGAGCAGACCCAAACACTTTCAGGATGGAGCAGGGGCTCCGGCCACATTTGCTCATAGAAAATGGACCCGGAGATGCACAAACTTCTCCATCTTGTTTCTCATGTTCTGGTACACATTAACATCACATATGCCAAAACGTCCATCACCTTGGGGTGCTTCAGCACCTGGATGGCCAGTGTAATCCACATCATATGTTGATCTTTTCTATCCCAGTGCCTCGTGGTGGCTGGATGGGTTATGCCAACCCTCCTGTTTGCCCTGCAGTTCTCAGAGAGCTTCACACTGGCTCTCTGGAGGCAGTGGGATTCAAGGTCAGGCGTCAAGCAAGCACTGGCTGGGTGGAGGGA